TATAAGAGAAGATAAGATAAGATAAGATAATATAATATAATATATCATCATATAACATAGTATGATTTTATTTAAAATAATATCGTGTAATATCATACAATATGATAAAATAAAACAAAGCATAATATGTATGTATGTATGTATGTATGTATGTATGTATGTATGTATGTATGTATGTATGTATGTGTGTGTGTATGTATGTATGTATGTATTTGTATAAAGTCATATAGTCGAATTCAGAGTACACAATACATACTTATATTGTTCTTTTGCAGCCGGGCAAGCTTGCTTCAAAGTGAATGAATCCCTTCCAAGCCCATGATGCGAGCATTGTGTTTGCAAGTGGGGGGGGGGCCCCCCCCTCCCCCCTAACCCCCCCGCTGTTTGTTTTAAGCCGGGTTTGCTTCAAAGCACAAGAATGAATCCCTTCCAAACGCATCATGCCAGCATTGTCTTCGCAAAATATACGTTACGACGCAATAAGATACAAAAAGATACAAGAATATGCAACTATATACAACAATATAAATTAGATACAAGAATATACAATAATATACGTAAAAAAGAAGTACCTACAATACTCTCCAGTAATTTACAATCATTCCATAACAAAAAATATGCAGCAATATCCAATAATTTGCCACAATAATGTACAATAATATGCAGTAATATATAAAATAAGCAATAAGACACAATCATCTGCAACAATATGGAAAAATATTCAATAATATAGAATCATATACAGTAATGTATAATACTAGACAATAAAAGTTCAAGAATCTACAATAATAGCAGTAATATACAAGAATATTAAAAAAGAAACAAAAATATCGAATAATATACGACAATATTTTATAAAAAAAATGCACAAAAATATAAGACAATACAATTATGTTCAAGAATGCCAGAATATACAATACAATCATATACAATAGTATACAATCGTATACAATAATATATAAGAAGATACAATAATACTAAATTAAACAGTTCTATTCAATAAAAAACAAGAATATACAAGAATACACAATAATATTTAATAACTTTCAAAATGCAACAATACATACACACTAATGTACAATAATATACAAGAATGAAAACAGCTATAAGAATGTTCAATAATACTCATTATACAATAATGTACAATACTGCAAAAATAGAAAAGCATAAAAATGCTGTATTTTTCCATCATGTAGAGCCTGGCAGCAGGCACAAATGCCGCCATCTACAGCATTTAGAGCTTTGGAGCAACTATAAATGCCGGAATTTACAGTCTGGAATGCCCAGAAACGCTGTGTTTTTGAGCGTTTTGGCCTTACAAGCAACCAGAAATGCTGCATTTCATAGCATTTAAAGCCAGGAATGGCAGGGCCAGCGTTAGCAAGGCCAACAAGCCAGGGCCAACGTTAGGAAAAAAAACCTCCGCCCTCCACAGTAATTTCTCCATTTTAGGAACAATAATTTAGGCCAATCTCTACAGGCCCTGAACCCTAAACCCTAAACCCTAAACAGCCTAAACCCCAAACCCTAAACGTTATGTATACTTCTTTTACAGGTATTTGGAAGGTTTCGTATAGGGGAATGGGGATGTCTAGCACAAAGGATCAAGCATTTGCTGGGGCTCAACACCAGTATGGTTGGATCCCTTAGTTGGAGAGATGTCAGAGCATTCGCACTAAGTGCTATCACAGGCTCACCCCGGAATCCTAAACAGTAAACCCTGCAACCCCAAACCCCAAAAGCAACCACCGTAATATGAGGGCCTAAATAACTACCTGCATTGTCCAACGAGAATCCTTCTTCAAGTGTCGCAGAACCACATCAAAAGCTGTTCTAATGATTAAGGCCGCATCGTAACCCCGGAACTTAGCCCCCAATCCCCCCCAAAACATCGGAACAACGACAACAACAGCGGACCTTTGAGGTTCATGGAAGTGCTGTCTGCAGCCCAAAACCACTTCCACCGGGGAACGGCTGGAGATCACGAGGCCTTGCCAGCAGCGGTGGGTCATGTTTTAGGGTTTAGGGTTTAGGGTTTAGGATTGAGGATTTGGGGTTTAGGATTTAGGGTTTAGAGGGGTAGACACCTTCTTTGGGTGATGCCCGCAACCCTCCAAAACAATAAAGAGGCCTAAACAATTGGAACATGGTTTCGTGGGGATTTCACTGTTTGCTTGTAAAGGGTGAGAGTGATTATGTGTGGGTGGGGGAGGGGGGATAATAGTAGCCCTAAACCCTAAACCCTAAACCCTAAACCCTAAACCCTAAACCCTAAACCCTAAACCCTAAACCCTAAACCCTAAACCCTAAACCCTAAACCCTGAGTGAGCCCGGGGCCGTCGAGCAGGGCGAACGCGCCGAAGCTGGTAGGCGAGGTAGCTCCGGAGCCAGAAGCCCTCCGGCGGGCGATGGAGCTCCAGTCCCGCAGGCAGCTGCGGGCTGCGGGGTGGACCCGGCAGGTCGCTGGCGAGAAACCTCAGGTCGCTATTCAAACGAAACATGGCAACCTCTTTTGGGAGGTCTCCCAAGCCTCTCCCAGAGGAGCCTCGCCTCCGGCCGTCGTCGCGTTAATTTTCCTCAAATCAGGTGTTTCGGGAACCCTGCCCCTGCCTGGGCAGCCCAAGCCCTGCCTGAGAGGGCCCTGCTTGGGAGGCCCTGCCTGGAAGGCCCCTGCCTGGGAGGCCCCAGCCCCTTCCTCTGCCTGTTGAAAGCCGCCTAACAGGCTTCTGCTTTGCTTGGGGAGGCCCACCTTGGCGCTGGATTGGGGGCTGTGGGTGCTCAGCCTTCCTGGCCTTCTGGCGGCCCTGACCCTGACCCAGGCAGTGGCTTGGCCCTTTGCAAGGCCCCCTGAAAAGCAGTTAAGGATCCAGAACGCAGCATGCAAGGGCGAAGGCAAGCCCAAACCTTCGGGCTTTTGCACTTTCAGAAAGAATTAAGAAGTACGGGCAAATTGTGACCCTGCTTTCCTGTTGGCCCACGTTTGCCTGGAAACCCCTCCCTTGGATCCAGATCCCCAACCAGGACGCAGCATCCAAAGGCGAAGGCGGCAGCCAGCCCCAAGCCCAAACCTTCGGCCTTTTGCACTTTCAGAAAAAATTACTGGAAAACTGTGAGTTTCTGCCTAGGAGGCCCCCGCCTTGCGTGAACCCGCCTGAAAAGCAGGCCTTGGTTGAGGCCCCTTGCTGGGAAGCCCTTTCAAGCGAGGGATCCAGATCCCAACCAGGACGCAGTATCGGCAAAGGCGGCAGCCGCCCCAAGCCCAAACCTTTGGGCTTTTGGCACTTTTAGAAAGACTCACAAGACCACCACGCCTCCAACAAGGCCTTCCAGATGCAGCATGCAGCAACCGCCCATCCCAACCGAAGGCGGCAGCCAACCCAATCCCAAACCTCTGACTTTTTGGCCCTCCCAGAAGCCCTCGAATGATGGACATCTAAGCCCAACATTAGAAAAAACAAAAAAAACCAAAAGATGCAGCATCAGCATGGCGAAAGCCCAAACCTCTGATTTCACGCCCTTCCAAGCAAGTTTTCCAAATCCCCGCCCAGCACGCAGCATCGCCGAGGGCGAAGGCGGCAGCCAGCCCCAAGCCCAAACCTCTGACTTTTGGCTCCCCCAGCAGCCCTCGACTGATAGACATCTCCCTTGCAATGCCTAAGGGCTGCGACCTTCAGGGTAGTTGATCTGCATCGATGCCGAGCTTCTAAACCCTACCAATGGACAAGAGAAAAATAACAAAAGCACGATCAGAGGTTCAAAAGAACCCTAAACCTGTAAAGGTTAAGGCGTGGGTGGAGCGCCAGCGGGGGTGGGCTTATGCAAGTCGGGGCGCGCGCCTGGGTGACTCATTGAGACACCTTAAACCCTAAACCCTTTACCTTAAACCCTAAACCCAAAACCCTAAACCCCACGACCTAAATCCTAAGTGTGTATGTAGGTTTTTGCGGTGGCATGAAAAGGGCTTGTCGTAAGGATTTCAACAGTTGGGGGATTCTGGTCTTGTTTCGCTGATCCTCTAAACATTGAAGAATCTTGCAAGGCTGAGCATATCGACAAGTAGGGTTTCGGGTTTAGGGTGTAGGAAATGAACCCACGCAGCCAACCTATCCAGGAAACAACGCAAACAAGCTTTCCAAATGCACACGGTCGAGACAATTACGCGGTCCGAGCCGCTTTAAAAGCATTAGGCTGCGGTTTTGCGATTTTTTCTCGCAGCTGTCTGGGACCCTAGGACTTGACGTTTTCCTAAACCCTAAACCCTAAGCCCTAAGCCCTAAGCCCTAAACCCTAAACCCTAAACCCTAAACCCTAAACCCTAAACCCTAAACCCTAAACCCTAAACCCTAAACCCTAAACCCTAAGTAGCATGCGACAGTTTGTTGTGTGCTCGAGATTCAAGCTTCTGGTTGGGTCGGGGCATCCGGAATGCAAACGCAATCAATGGGCTGCTGGTTGCCTCCAGTCCACAACGCCGGGTTGAGGGTTTAGGGTTTAGGGTTTAGGGTTCATGCCAGCAGAATCCTTCCGAGGAGCTCACCTCGTGCATTGCAAACACGGGAAGGCGGGGTTTCCAGTGTCCTAGGGAGACCTGAGCCCCTGTGGTGAAATCCTCGTTGAAGCTTCAGGCTTAAAACATGTCAACTTGAGCAGATTTCATGAATGCAAAAGAAAACTCCGGAAAAGTTAGCCGGTCCTGGCATCCTTTTCGAGTTCATTTAAAGACGTTTAAGATGTACGCAAAGTCGCGGTTTATCAAGACGGAGGTAGGTATGTGTCTGACAAGCAACAGGCACTCGTTCCACGATCTTCGCCTGCAGGAAGAGGATGTGCGCGAGCCACTTCGGAGGCTAGGGGCGGTCATGTGACGAGATGTGTAACTAAGGTGAAATTTGTGAGCAAAGTCTGTTATGGTGTGTGTTTGAGGCACCGTGCGATGCATTGTGCTTCTGGCACAAGGGAGCGCGCAGCCGAGCAGCTTTAAAAATAAGAAATTGCGCGCCATGTTCGCCCTCAGCCTCGCTTGGGTAGCCGTGGCTAGCGGCTACAGCACGTCGCCCATCGTCCTCGATTTTGCGGAAACGCGATATGGCGAGGGTTCGTCACTCTTGATGTGCCTCCACGGCACCCTGCAATGCAGAGCCCTGTGCTGCTCCGTGCCCTTCGACCGCAATTGGGGTGGGCACAAGTTCTGTGGCCACTTCGGCAGCCATTTCAAGGCCGAGGTCTGGACCAATTGCTGGGGTGAGGGGAATGAGGGCGCGGGTGGCAACGTGAGAAGCCAATGTTGTGAATGCGTGGCGGACGAGCCTCCCACGATCTTGCCAAAGCCCGTGAGGGCCGAGGGGGCAGAATCATGGCTACCGAGCCACAAGGGCCAGGAGGGCTACTTCGAGCTGCCAGCCTCTCACGAGCATTGTGACTCGCGAGACGATGGCAAGTGCTCAGGATTCAACCTCACCTGCCCCACGGGCTCCCTGTCTGTGCCCTTCAATCAGTGCTTGCAGGGCAGCCTGGGCAGGTGGGAGGATGGCTTTCAGCTCGCTTGTGGTATGGATGGGGCCGAAGTCTACACTTACGCCTATGAGGGCTGGGGGTGCTCGGGCTCCTTTGGTGGCTATCAACCACCCAGCGCCTTCTGCCGAATCTGTGAGAGCACCGTCCCTTGGGCCAAGCGTGCGTGTCGCTTTTTCTTGTCTTTGGTTAGGCTCTGATGGCTTCGCTTTTTTTATACTTTGAAAACTTGCTTGTAAGGTGACCTTGACGACCACTTGGTGGCCCAAGCCCAGCAAATCTCTGCGTGAGCTCTCCTGGGATGCGAGCTGTGTGCCCACCACCAGCACTCGCACCACGGTGACCACCACCACGGATCCCTTTGCAGGTCGTGGTTGGGAGCCGGTGGGTGGTGCCGGTGGTGCCTGTCGTGGTGACACGGCCAACGACAACGCGCCGGAACACTACGAAGTACACAGCCTGCAGAGCCTGGAGGCCTGTCAAGCGCAGTGCCTGGCCATGTTCCCGCGGTGCAAGGGCGTGGAGTACAGTCAGGGACGTTGCGAAGTCTGGGTTCGCGCCTGGATGACCATACGTACAGTCTTATGTGAGCACGCGTTATGTACAGGCAAACACCTCCAAGTCTAGAAGTCTGTAAGTCCACAAGTCTATAAGTCTAGATGTCTAGAAGTCCATAAGTCTCTCAGTCTATAGAATCTATGGGTCTATGGGCAATTTGATTCGTAGGCCGCGTGCCAAGGACCAGAAGGCATCTTTGTGGCAAAGGATCTAAGTGGCTTTACTTGCCTTCGCTTTGGATGGCCCACCAAGTATCTCCAACCGGTTGATGGGGGCGATGGCCGCGCCTGCCGTGGGGATCGGGTCACCGACAACCTGCCGGAGTATTACACCATCACAAAGACGAGGTTTTTAGAAGATTGTAAGGCCAGATGTGCAGCTGCCCCGGTGTGCGAGGGTATCGAGTTCAGCCTGGGCCGATGTGAGATCTGGTTGCGCCCAATCCGCGCGACCACCGGCATACCCGGTTTCAGTTGCTTTGGCTACAGCCCCCCAAGTGGGCTATTGCTCCTTTGAACATCTTTGCGCATGCCGAAGAGGGCATGAACATGTGTAAAATTTTGGTATTAAGCCCAGAGACTCCAAAACCCCTTAATTAAGGAATATACCTTAAATCATACTAGGGTTCCTGTTATAATATAAGGTATATTCCTTAATTAAGGGGTTTTAGAGTCTCTGGGAGGGGTGGAGCACGGGGCCTTACAGCCGCGCCATGCTCCACCTCGCAAGGGAGCTTTGATGCTCGGCAACTTGCCCGTTCGATGCCACCTGCGCGTCGAACCTGTGAGCACTGTGAACGCCTGTCCGAGTGCAACCTAGGGTTTAGGGTTTGAGGTTTAGGGTTTAGGGTTACGAGGCCCCTAAGGACATACCCCCCTAGGGCTGTGGGTGCTTGGCCAGGCCAGAATCTGTGAGGAAACTGTGGCGGAGCAGCTCTCAGAGAGCAGTCGGTGGACCATGAGGCGTGCGCGGGAAGTGTTCAGGGTTTGTTTGGGACCTCATTTGGACTGTACGTAGAGATACCTGCAGCTTCTAAGTATTGGGGTTTCTTATGCGAGTGAACAATGTAGTTGCTTTTGTGTTTTGTTTTTCTTTGTGTAGGTTTTCTTGATTTCAAGTCTTTTCCATGTTCTTCGGCTCCGTGTCCTACGATTGTGATCGTCGAAGCATTGCGTTCCAGTGCATGGCTGGTGACGACATGCTGTAGTAGATGGCGCTAGTCACTCGTCTGAATAGCACTCCCTGTGCCGAGCCAGAATGTACTCTCGCATGCCATAGGCTGTGGAATACTTCTTATGCTATATTGCAGGGTAGTGATGGTTAGTGCGTTCGTCTACAGGGAAGTATCGTATGCAGATCCAAAGAAGCTGTTCTATTGAGCTGTGTTTTGGTCTAGATCGCTGTAGTGCAGTGTACTGTAGTGTAGTATCATCCGTATAGTTTTGTGGTGTAGAATGTCTTTTGCAAGTGGACTCGCTGCTGCCAGCTGTGCATCCCCTACATCCCTTCTTGACATGCCGCAGAGTCGAATGGGCTGGCGCATGTGATTGTAGGAGTGAAAGATAGGATGCTAAGGTATGTATATACTGTAGTCTCTTTTGGTTCTACCCCACAGAACTTGGGGTTGGATGGTACAGTTGGTGATTCATCGCACACCATAGGTTTCGATTCTGCTTTTGCATGGTGTATTCTTGTGCTCTCGCCGTGTTTCATGATGCTTGCCCTCAGGCTGCGGAGGCTGATGCCCTACTGAGGACTGCAAGGGCCCCTCACCGCCATTTCGTGTGCGAACGGGGGGGGGACATCTCGGGTGAGTCCAAGATTGCGTCGTTTGTTGCAAGGAATGCCTTGTAGGGGAGCTTTGCAACTAGCAGCAGCTTGCACGGTTTACGGCGATCCCAAACCCGCTCTGATCACTTGGGCTCTTACACTTGCAGCAGCAGCAAGACAATCTCCTTGTACAGGTGTTCGCAGGGTTCCCACAAAAATCCTCCTGCCGGTGAGCGTCGAGTGACATGGTGAAGTCGACGCATCTGCCGGAGACTGCATTGGAGCAATATGCCAAGTTACTGAACTCCGACAGCAAGCGACGCAGGAGGGAGGTTGAGCCAGGCTTTCCAATGTATACCCTGCCTCTGGAAATATTTCTCCTTATGTCAGACATGGAGCCTCACGAAGAGCTCATGGCGGACAACAAGCTCGTGATCTTTCAAAAAGGCATGGGCAAGGCAGCTTTTGTGTCCCACCAGTGGGTGGGCATCGGACACCCCGACCCTGAGTTCAAGCAGATGCGTGTCCTGCAGGAGTCCTTGCAGAACTTGGTGTCGGGCGACAGCCAGGTCTCCGTGGATTTGATCACGGAGTTTGTGTACTTCCGCTCCGCGGGCATACCGACTTCGGTGTGGACATCTCACAAGCTTTTCCTGTGGATTGACTACTTTTCCTGCCCACAGCTTGAACGATTTTCAAACCCCCAGAATCTCCAGAAAGCCATCGATAGCATCCCCGCGTATGTCTCGAAGTGTGACTTTTTCATGGCGTTGTGCCCTGTGGTTGAGAGCTCCGCGGCTGATGAGACGTTCAGTGAGTACACATGGTCTCAGAGAGGTTGGTGTTGCATGGAGAAGTTGGTCTATGAGCTTACCACGCACGATGGGGCGTGGATCCTGATCAAGAGTCCCATGCACCAGGAGCTGAAGCTCACGCCTCTCACAAACTCATCGCCTGGCGAGGGCAGTTTCAGCATCCAGTCGGACCGGGCGCGGGTAGGGATGCTGCTCCAGACGTTTCTGAAGCGGAAGATGCTCTCCTGCTTGGAGAAGATGGATTTGGCAGAGTACCGGCTGGTCCTCAACCGGCAGCCTGCTTTTCTTAGGGGCCTTGGCGTTCCGCTCGTGGAGGCCATGGCTGGCAGGGAAGGTGACGGTGTGCTTGCAAGCTTTCTTCGCCAAAACGGGTTCAGAAACGTAACTGACTACGACAGTGCCGGCTGGTCGCCGTTGTGCTACGCCTGCCTAGGTGGTCGGGCAGATGTGGTTCAGGCGTTGCTAGGAGCGAGCGCCAGTCCCAACGACAGGACCCGCAAGCCATTGCGGGCAATCAACTTGGACAAGAACAGCCCCGTTCTGTCCATCGGTGCCAGATTTAAAAACTATGAGGTCATGGAGCTGCTCATCGCAGCCAGGGCGGAAGTGAATTCCAAGGCAGTGCACGCACCTCTTGGTGTCGCATGCTTGGGCGACGATGCGCGTGGCGTGACCTTGCTCTGCTCTGCAAGGGCTGACCCGCACGCGAGGAACCCCTACGGGGACCACGCGCTGCGCATGGCCGCTGCAGCCGGTGCGTCTCATGCCATTGATGCGTTGTTGAGTCTCCCAAGTCTTTCGGCGCCCTTCGATTTCTCCATGGTCCTGCATAACGCGGTGATGCTCCAAGGAGGCTCGGTGGAGGTTGTCAGATGCTTGATTGATGCCCAGGCAGACATCAACGAGCAATACCAGAGCAAGATGGACCTGCTGGGGGTTGTCATCGGGGTGAAGGCCTTGCAGTACAGGCTGTCGAAGCCGACAATGACGCGCAGAGTGTCATATCACATCCACAAGGCCACACCGTTAATGCTGGCGCTCCTCTGCGGAAACTTTCAGGCTGCATCGACGATGGTTTTGCAGGGTGCTCTGCTCGATGTGCGGAACTGCCGCGGCAAGACTGCCATGGACTTCGCTCGGGAAGTGTTCGCACCACGGTACCTGATGGAACGGATGGAGGGGGAGGCGGGCCGAGCGTTCTCCATCATCTCTTGCAGTAGCCTGAAAGCTTCGCCGGCGGCAGTTTCACCAGAGGAGGAAGAGTCAGGTGCTTCTTCGTCTTCATTTTTCGAGATTTGACGTCTCAAAATGGACACCAGCATATAGCCCAAATTTGCGGTAGCAACCTCCAAAAGGGGAGGCACTGGTTTCCGCAAGGCCAACTTCTGTCCTTGTTGCAGCGGGAAACTGCTCGCGCGTTGCATTTCCGGTTGGTCGTTGCTCAAGTCTTTTGTGCCGAAACTTTTGCCCCTTGAACTTTTCAACTTTCAGAAGCCTCCCCTACAGGACAGCGCGCCTGGTGAACGACTCCAAGCATGTGGTCAAGATTCTGCGGGGACCTCAGCATGAGGATGAGCAGCTTTTCGGCTTAGGCTCCTTGGGATCTTCAGGTGCATGATGGTTTCGAGAGCGTTGTGTTATTTGAAGAGCTGGTTTTGCTTATGTTCATGAAACCCTAAACCCTAAACCCTAAACCCTAAACCCTAAACCCTAAACCCTAAACCCTAAACCCTAAACCCTAAACCCTAAACCGTAAACCCTAAACCCTAAACCCTAAACCCTAAACCCTAAACCCTAAACCCTAAACCCTAAACCCTAAGCCCTAAACCCTAAACCCTGAACCCCTGAGCCGAAACCCTAAGCTCCAAACCCTTCAACTTTGAACCCTGGAGTACTGAAGAAGCTCAAACGCCCGGGATCTCCGTCAGACACAGGACCATCGGCTATAATCTGCACAAGGCTTGTAGGGTTTAGGGTTTAGGGTTTAGGGATTAGGGTTTAGGGTTTAGGGTTTATACCACAGTCTACTCCCGTATTTCGTAGACTATTGCATAGAAGCATTCCCTAAACCCTAAACCCTAAACCCTAAAACCCTAAACCCTAAACCCTCAGTGTGCAGAGCAGTATGTGCCATGCGGGGAAGGTTCGCCTACTTGGAGGTTCATGGCACTTGGTAACCAATTATCACTGTACTTCTAGCCCACTCATAAGCCCCTTAAGTGCCCCAAGATGGTTAGAAGTACAGTTCTAACTAAGCACAGTTAGAATTGGTTATTAAGTACCATGAACCTCCAAGTACTAAACGCCGGAACACTCAACCGGGAGGGTCTTGGGGATGTGCATTTGACGGGTGCCGCAGCTTTCGAGCTTGCCAAAGCTCTAGGTTTGGGGGTTCAGGGAAACCCTGAATGCCCAACCTTCAGGGTTTAGGGGTTTGCGGTTGAGTTGGGGAGCAGAGGGAAGGAAGCTTTAAGTGAACTTACTGTCTCCTGCGCCCCCAAACTACGAGTTCAAGCTCTTTGGCAATGGGCTTGGGGTGTATCGTGTGATAGTTGATGTTGCTGTTAGGAGTTTAGGGTCTTTAGGTTGAGGGTTTTTCTCACCCGCTGCTTGCTTGCCTACGGCATGTTCCATCGGGAGCACGTTCTCTTTGACAGGTGTTCACGGCAGTGGCACTGCAATGCTGCAAGATAGACCTATTTCGTCCCTTCTGTGCAGGGCCCTGAATCCATCTGTACCTCGACACCCTAAACCTTGCACCATGCGAGGGCTGACGATATTAGTGGTACCTTTTTGGGGTCATTGGGGTCCTTACTATAAGGGGATCCTACTATTTAAGGGTTTTACTAAAAGTCCCTTATTCTCGTAAACCCCCATGTAGCCTTAGGTTGCGACTTGTTGAGGCTGCAGGAAGGCAAGACACAACCTTGCAAGATCCATACAGATCCATACAGGGGCCCACAACCAACCAAGCTTCTGCAGCACCATTGAAGGGTTTCCGATATTAGGGGGTACCTTATGGGCCTTATGGGGGCTCCTTATTGCAAAGGGAATCCTACTATTTGGGGGTGTATAACCCTAAACCCTAAACCCTGAACCCTTTTTTCGTAAACCCCCCATTTGAGGCCGACCTCCCTTCGAGCTGCGACTCTTCGGAAGCTCGGTGGCTTGAGGTCTCACTTCGGTTGCTTCAGCGAAATATATGTGTCGGGAATAATTGAAAATATACTACCCTATTCTGATCACAAGGAGGAATGGTCTGATTGTTCACAAATGACCTTGGCATCCTGCCGTGAGCGGGGTGTAATTGTGTGTCTAAAGTCCGAAGCACTGTTCTACCAAACGTCGTAGCGAAGAGGGTGGATTCTAGCAGCAGCGTTCCCGCACCGAATTCCGCTGCAGAGCGCGTTCCACCGATTCTAGCCATGGAGTGTTGGGGAAGCTGAGGAACATCGAGACTTGGGTGGCAGCGTGGTGGTGGATGCAGCTGACCTTGAAGGCGCTGGGAGCTCTCGGCGTGCCTTGTAGGTGCTAGGCATGTTTTATGTATTTCGGCCGTGCCTAGGAAAGCATTCGTATGGAGCCGTGGGAGAACATGTTTGCACCTACTTGTGGGGTTTGCATGTTAATTATATCTTCAGGCGTGACTCTCAAGCAGGATGCGCTAAACAGGCTGCACTAGGTTTCAGTTCAGAGTCCGCTCTGGGAAGCCGGTCGCAAAACAGGGCCACCCATGCGAACCCTTCTGCGCTCCCATAGGTCCCTGCTATGGCAGGCGAGCTCTGCAGACAGAGAGTCTCTGTGCAGGGCTCGGGCAAAGCGTAGAACCACAGCCGTTCCGCAGTTGCGGTCCAACGTGACAAGCAGCAGCTGCGCCCTTGAGCGAAGAGCGGCTGCAGAGCGAAGGGTCGCGCAGGCGATGACAGCAAACTTCGCTGCCATGCAGCAGCCAGAGCCAGATGTCATGCCAACCTTTGATCCGCTCACAAGCAACAATGCCGTCACGGGGAACGCCATGCCTGCCTCTCTGAAGTTTGAACTCAAGATGACCGAAATGCCTGAACTAGCTTTCACGGCAGACTCGAATGGCAACCTTGATTTAAACGCAACCTCGGAGAGTTTGGAGATTGGTAACAGCTTGGTGTCTGGCACCGCCAAAGTCTACACAGATGGCAGTGTCAGTGGACAGTTGGACTTCGATTTGCTCGAAACGTGCAAAGCTGCTGCCGAAACCATGGATTCCATGCAGCTCGAGCAGTTGGCTGCTGTTTTGGAGAGCTGCAGCATCGAAGGACTCCAGGTTTTTTGGAGTGAGAATGTCTTCCGTGGCACAATTACAGTCAATGGCGTTGATGTGTCACTCGAACGTGCAACCGTGGATGTCAGCGGTAGTTCGGAGTCGTCGAATTTCGTCCACGATGATTCGGGCAACCTGGTGCATTATCACGGCGAAACGTTGGTGACTTCGGGCACTGTTGATGCTCTCTACGCTGGGTTGGGTGGGCACGTGCCTGGCATTACGGAGTTGGGTGCCAGTGTAGATTTCAAGGTGGCCGCGCAAAACAATTTCACCAGCGATCAAAAAACACATGACGTGTACCGGAGTGAAGGGAAAGTCGTTGACTCCACAACCGAGGTGCACACCATTGACCATTCCACCGAAGTGTTGGGTGCAAAGGTTGGAGGAACTACGGAGTCTGCTTTCACTTCAAAGACAGTAGAAACAGAACAAAGTGAAAGTTGGTTCCTTGCCCGCACAGACAGGAAAACTACGGAGGAGCACGTGCACACCAAGTCAGAGCATGGTATTATCTCGGACGAGGTCACCATCTTGAAGGAGGAGGTCATTGTCTCAGAAGAGCTGCTTGAGGCTCATCTGACGGCAGCTGGATATGGCTGCCTTGTCATCGTTGTGAAGCCAGTGATGACTGTCTTGAAAACGGTCCAGGCCAAAGGCAGCATAACTCCCGAAGAGGTCCTGAAAAGCATTGTACAAACGGCAGCAGGCGTGGGTACTCTTGCGCATCTGACTCGGTGCTTCAGCACGCCCTCTATCGGAATGGCGGTCATGGTGGTGGCTCAAAATGCCGTCCCTCTTGTGCAAGGTGAGTATGACTTGGTCCAGAAGAATATGGGTGTGATGTTGAAGAGCATCTTAGTGGTGCAAGGCACAAGCTGGACCACAAGAGCTTTGTTGATGACCACGCCAATGGCTCCCTGGTCCTCCATTGTCAGTGCTGGTGCAGGAGTGGCTGCTGGCAGCATGGTTGCTGACATTGATTTCTCGAAGTTGCACGCCGCATTCTTGAGAGAGTGGTCGCGCCATCGCATTAAACTTCTCGAATGAGCGAGAGGGTCACGGAGCAGTCTGGCATCTTCCGAACGAACACGGCCTCAGGACAAAACACCGAAGTTGCGTGCATAGTGTTCTCTCACCACGTGAGCTTAATACAGCTGCAGACGCTTGCATGATACCTTCTTTGCAGACCAAATACAAGTGAGAAGTCGTACGACAAAACCTTCAGAGTCTTGTGACAAGGCGCCGCAGAAGGGCGCTCACTGCAGAGGCGCACTCTGTGGTCTGTGGTTTTAAGCAATTGAGGCCGGCCACCTACCGAATGATTTTTTTTTTAAGTTTTGAAGCGGTATTCAAGACAGGGCTTTGCATGGTTGAGGCACGTCACGAGAGAATGTAATGTGGTAGGGTCACTGCATTGCGCAGGAAGCTTGGGTTTTGAGGCTCTCTGGCATCCACCGTTCCGAGCGGGAAAGTTATCTTGGTTCCAATATTTCAGATATATGATATATGTGTCACTATATGACTCATGACGATTCAAAAAGAAGAAGTTGTCGTTAGAGGGAGGGTGCATACTTCTGAGAGTTCTGGGTCCGTTTATCCTAATTATTACTCGCAGATTGATACTAGTGTCGCTCTTATCGACAGTCCTAAGACACGTTTCTTAGGACAGGCCTGTCTGGCAGCACCAACCCGAAAACATGCCCTTCACGATCTAAAGTTCCCGATATACATGACAGAGGACGCAACAAGAGACGCCGAGATGTCTTGCCTTTCAAGTGTGTGGTGTGCGCTATGCAGCATCTGCGTGCTGTTGGTTGTTATTTTAGGTGAAACTGGGTACTCCTCTGGTGATTGGCACAAGCCGTGCAAGCCTGCGGTGCGCCCGTCATGGCAGCTGATGCGGCCACCCGGCGCTCCGCGCAGATTGCTCAGGAACTGCAGGACTGGGGGTTTAGGGTTTAGGGTTTGGGGGTTCAGTTCTGGGCACAAGAGGTCTGGCGCGCTACCCAAAAACTCGGAGATTCTGAGGCCCTAAGTCCTACATCCTAAGTCCCACACCCCGAAACCCTGTGCTCTTCCCCCTTCTTCAGCCGCAATTCGGGAGCCGGATGTCTGACCAAGTTCCTAAGGCCGACAAAGCGCCAAGGTTGAAGGTTTCATCATGTGTTATATGGAGGTTTCCGAAATTAGGGGTACCTTAATAGGGTCCTCTTGATAAGGGAATCCAATGACTTATGGGTCTATTTTTCGGGGTCCCCTATTTTCGGAATTCCCCATATTGAATGAGAAACAGCCGTAAAGTACTAAGGGCTTGGTTTAGGGGTTTGCGGGCTTTAGGGTTCAGGGTTTGTGTTGAACCAGAAACAGCCTTGAGGTATATACTTGTTCGAGCTTAAGAGCTCGAGAGAAGCAGGGGGACACGAAAGCCCTTTCAACCATAAACCCTCGACTCTTGACCCTAAACCCTAAACCCTGCTATGTCGGGGGTTTCTCAAAATGACCGCCCCGTTCGCTTCAGGAGCAGCTAGAGTCTCAAGAGTCACGGTCTCAGAGTTCTGGGGATTTTCGGGGCTAAGGCCTAGGGAACCAGTCTTGGGCTTGGGGTTGCAGGTCTGTCAGTTGGGGGTTTTGAGTGGGGCGGGGTTTGAAGGTCCTTGGGGGCTTTTCGCGTGAGATGGTGCAATGGCTGCTTAGAACCGCATTTTGAAGTCGGGCCTTTGAGGTGCAGTGTGCTCATGGGCTCGGCATGATGTAGCATCCATGGCAGTTCGGAGGTCGGAGGGGTTTAGGGTTTAGGGTTTAGGGTTTAGGATTTAGGGTTTAGGGTGCAACGCCCTAAGCCAAAGCTGGTGCAACGCCCTACTTGGAGGTTCATGGGTACTTGTAAGTAGGGTTATAAGTAGGGTAGCTATGGTTATAACCTTATGTAGGGTACTTATAACCCTACCTCCAAGTAGGCCCTAAGCCTAAACCCCCAAGGAAAGAGTTGGAGGAGTTGCAGGAAGCGCACCGGGCGCTTGTGGAAGAGAAGTTCCAGGTGCCTTGGCTGTGGACAAGTTAAGTCGGGATTGCCGCGATGTCTCCTTGATCTGTTTATGCTATTGGTTAGTTGTGGCATCTTCATTATCACTCTGCTGCCCCTTCCTTGTGCCTGCATGATTGCCTTGCGTCGCAGCCTGGTCTTGGACATCTTTTCTTTCGCTGCGTGTCTTACTATTGGTGGGCCTGCGCCTCCTTCTAGCCTTGGCGACTTGTTTGCTCCAGAGGGTGTTCTGATTGAGCTTGTGTAAACCGGTGTGAGGCTGATGGTAGATCTGATCGCGGCTTGTTCGATGTTGTGGTGTGTCCTGATTGAGTGCTTAGAGCTTTGCCTAGATCTAGTATAGCTGGGTTGGGTTTCTTGCCCATTTGCTTGCTTTGGGGTTTTCACACAGCTTATACATCCGAGCAGTGCTGATTGGCGGTACACTGATGGCGTATCTGTCTGTTTGCTCAATGAACTTTGACGCGTGTGGTTTTGCATTGCTGTGTTGTTGTGTAAGGCGTTGCCTGCACATTGCACGCGTGTTTGAAGACATACGGATGCATGTAGTTCAGCTCCACGCATGAAGAATGGCAGTGATGCTTTCGTGTGCTGTAAACTTGGCCCTGACATCCCTACACCGAACCAAGCTCAAGTGCTTTCAGGTGCCTTCGGCGCAAGAAATCCCACGTAAGCGCCCCTGCCCGGGGCTGGCGGACGATCCGCGGCCCTCCGACCTGATCAAGCTGAATGCGGCTTCGCCAGCACAAAGTCCTGGTAGGTCCTAAATTCAAACAGGGTTTAGGGCTTAGGGTTTAGGGTTTCGGGTCCTGGTAGGTCCTAAATATCATCTGTATTCAAACAGGGCAGCCATTCTGCATTTCACTGTGCCAGCCCTGCTGCACGCTGTAATGAATCAGAAGCCTTTCTTGGTTACTTTCGATGGGACTCATGGCCGTGTGATGCACAAGCTCGTGAAAGCCTGTTTGGTCGCGAACCGAGGTCGGGGGCGACACGAGCTTCACCATGACCCGGGACACGCTGACGGCCGTGCGGGGATCTCGGTTGGCCCAGCTCTTCAGCGGCCGCTGGGATGAGCGGCTGCGGCGGGACGCCGAGGGCCGCGTGTTCCTGGACTTCCATCCCCTGCAGTTCCGGAAGATGCAGCGGCTGCTGAGGGACGCCAAGCGGACGGGGCCCGGCTCCAAGCCGTCGGAGCCGGCTGACTACGAGAAAACATTGCCGGAATGGTGCAGACCTGGATTCGTGCCCTTGTGCAACTTCTTGTGCTCGCCGAACACCTGCAAATTCCCTGCGCCGCGGGTGGACGGCGCGCCGGAGTTGCGCGACATGGCACCGGCAGCAAGCAGCGGTGCGAAAAGGAGAAAGATTTTCGACTCCGCGCTGGTAGGCGCTGAACAAGCCGAACTTCTGGAAAGCTGGGTCGCCCCTGTCTCCACTGGACTCGCAGGCTCTTCTTTCGAGCTCATGTTCCGGGCGTCCCGGGACGGCTGGACGGCGCAGGCCTTCCACCAGAAGTGCGACGGCAAGGGGCCCACGGTGGTTGTGGCCAAGAGCCAGGGAGGCCACCTGTTCGGCGGGTACACCGAAGTGCCCTGGGACAGCTCAGGACAGTACAAGCCTTGCCAGCAGTCCTTCCTTTTCCGTTTGGCGGGCCCGGACAGCAGCACGCAGCCTTCCAAGCACCAAATCTTCCAGAACCACCACAACGGGATCTACTGCAACGCATCATATGGTCTAACTTTCGGTGGTGGCCATGATCTACGTATTCAGCAGTCGGGCAGCAGTGCTGTTGTGGCTTTCAACGTTGGACACACGTACAGCCCAAACAGCAGCACTCCAGCGGGCGGAAGCTTCACCTACCTTGCCGAGGCGCAGTCGAATGTAGCCCTCACCGACTACGAGGTGTTTGTCGTCAAGGCGGACTCACGCGCAAGTTTGGAGTCAACACTCCGAGTGCTGAAGTCATTGTCCACTTTGGCAAGCTCTCAGCCGGACGCTCGCGAAGAACAACTTCTGCAGACTGCACTTCGGGCTTGCATCGACACCTGCGAGTATGGCCAGTCCCTTCTACAAGTGAGAAGAGACCTCGAGCATTCCCAAGACACTTTTGAACAGGAGGCTCAGTTTTTGCAGCGCTTCTTCGGAAACGACAAAGACATTGTGCATTTGAACGTTGGTGGCAAGCGCATGGCAACCTTGCTTTCAACATTGACTTTTTGTGAAGGCTCCTACCTTGCAACCAAGTTCGGTGGTACCTGGACGCTGCAAGAAGCGGAGATGGTGGAGGGAGGAGTATGGTTTGACGAAGACCCAGATTTGTTCGAAGCAGTGTTGATGCACATCAGAGTCGGCAGCCTCCTGGGCGAAAGCTTCGCTCCAAAACCAGACGAGAAAAAATCGTGGGACAGGTTGGTGGATGACCTGATGCTGGTCGATTACTTCAAGCGTGTCGTGTCAGTCGACTCCGAGCTACTCGGAGCTTCGGTGGATGACCTCATGACATTCTTGCCAGAGCCAGGAGCTGGGAAGAAGATTGCCCTCGAGCTCCTGTTCCGGGCGTCCCGGGACGGCTGGACGGCGCAGGCCTTCCACCAGAAGTGCGACGGCAAGGGGCCCACGGTGGTTGTGGCCAAGAGCCAGGGAGGCCACCTGTTCGGCGGGTACACCGAAGTGCCCTGGGACAGCTCAGGACAGTACAAGCCTTGCCAGCAGTCCTTCCTTGGAGAGCAGCACGCAGCCGTCCAAGCACCCAATCTTCCAGAACCACCAGCACGGGATCTACTGCGACACATCATACGGTCCACTTTTCGGTGGTGGCCATGATCTACAGATTCAGCCGTCGGGCAGCAGTGGCGTTGTGAATGTCAACATTAGGCACACCTACAACCCAAACAGCAGCGCTCCAGCAGGCGGACGTTTCACCTGTCTCGCGGAGCAGTCAGGCGCAGCCCTCACCGACTACGAGGTGTTTGCGGTCAGCAGTTGTGATTAGCCTGGGTCACGCAGTTGGGCAGAAGGCCACAGATACCGCTCCGGCTCTTTATATTGCTTTGTCACGTTGTGCTAAGACACTCTTCGGGCGTTATACCGACAGTGCAGGGCACTTGAAGCTTCCCAAGCTTCTCATGAGACTCAGACGGCTTGGAGAGGATCACGCCACGGAGGTGAAAAGGCTTTGATGCTTCTAAGAAGACATGCGCAACAACTAGCAGGGAGACCATGGCCTTTGCAGCTTTCGGATCCTGATGAAGCGGCACTGGGCCTTCCTTTCTGAACTGACATCTTGACATGACGTCGCTGCACTACTGTGCCGTTGTCAAGTTTGCACATTTTCCACTGAATCTAGAACAACCCTAAACCCTAAACCCCAAACCCCAAACCCTAAACCCTAAACCCTAAACCCTAAACCCTAAAGGGTCTTCCTGAGGATCCCACCGTGAGCTTCGCAGCTCGGCCATGGGTTTCCGGTCGCGGTTGTGGGATCCCTTTAGAGCAACATGGCAAACTGCCCAGAATACCGTTTCTAGTCACCCTGCACCCTAATTAAGCCTTAAAATCCTTAACCCTTGCCCTCAGCCCAGAACACTGGTTCTAATTCACCCACAGAACCCTGGTTCCTTAAACCCTAAACCCTAAACCCCTAAACCCTAAACCCTAAACCCCTAAACCCTAAACCCTAAACCCTAAACCCTAAACTCTAAACCCTAAGCCCTAAGCCCTACACCGGGGCGTGGCGGTGAGGAGCTCCCCGCGGTTTCTGCTTCTCGAAGTCGTGGGGCGGCCCAGGTCGCCTTTTTTTTGGTGTGATTTCTATCAATACTTTGTCTTAAGGTTGTTTGGGTTTAGGGTTTAGGGTTTAGGGTTTAGGGTTTAGGGTTTAGGGTTTAGGGTTTAGGGTTTAGGGTTTAGGGTTTAGGGTTTAGGGTTTAGGGTTTAGGGTCTAGGGCTGTTTCTTGTTGCAGGGTCTTTATGAGAAATAGAGGTTGGAGCCGGAGGGTTTCAGGATTTCTGGCTTTGAGGTGCCGTGCTTTGTTTTAAAGCTTGAGGGCTCAGGAATTTAGGGCATTTTTAAGTTTAGTATTTTAGGGTCTAGGGGGTTGTAGGGGGGTAAGGCAGGAAGGTGAGGGGAGCTTAAGGGTCTCTTAGGTGTAGTTGCGATCGGACCGGGTCACGCCGTAAAACCGTAAGCCACAGACGCCGATATGTGTTGCCGTTCAGTGTGCCGTGCAGCATGCATGCTACCTGCTGTGCTACCTCCTACCACGTACTACTACTTCCTTCTAGGCGCTCTCACGTGCTACTGCTTGATACTTTATGCTTCTTTGTGACGTTACCATGTTTACGACACCCTAAGCCCAAAACCCTAAAAGCCCTTGGTGCTTGCAGCCTTGCACCCTAGACTTTTTAACGGGAAAAGCTCTCAAACCAGTTCTTGCGCTTCAGGGTTGTGGGCTAACGCCCTTGAGCCCTGAAGCCACACACAGTGAATCTGAAGCCGCAGAAAATGCCAACTATAAGTCCGGCAAGCTGTGGCCAACAAGGGCTCGTAGGCCCCTAGGCCTTTCTTTTCTTTGATGAGACGCTCTTTGACAGGTGTTCACGGCGGTGTGGCATCGCAATGCTGGAGGACAGACAGACCAGTTCTGTCAGTTCTGTGCGCGAAACCAGCAGTCCATCAGACTAGTTTGCAGTTCCCGCTTTGGCTTTGCGAAAAGGCTCTCTGATCCGAGGCCTCAGCCTGCAAATCACGTGCTTCAGCCTGCAAATCACACGTGTCTCGGCCTTCCCTGCCAAGCTGCTCGGTGGGAGGTGTCCTTTTTTCTTAGGCGCCCCCGAAGCTGGTGATTTGCCCAAGCAGCGCAAGCCTGCGGTGGGCCCATCATGGCAGCTGACGCAGCCGCCCGGCGCTCCGCGCAGATTGCTCAGGAACTGCAGGACCGGGGGCTCAGTTCGGGGGGGAAACCGCTCTCTTTTTTTTGTTCATGTCTTGGTCTTTCAAGTGGTTGGCGCCGCGCGGTCGGTGAAGGTTCCCAGAGAGGCATGAGCTTTTGGTTTTGCTGCTCATGAGGTGGTGCATGTGCGAAGTCAACCCTAAGCTTAAACCCTAGACCCCAATCCTTGACCCTCAGCTCGAAGGCCTAAACCCTAAACTTTAAGATTCTGGAATTGGTGTGCATTTCCCGGCAGTTCTGGACAAACCCCTAAGGCCGACGAAGCGCGAGCAGGCTTAAGGGCTTAAGGTTGAAGGCGGTTTAGGGTTTAGGGCTTAGGGTTTGAGGGGTTAAGGTTGAAGGTGGTGAAGGGGTTTAGGGCTGAGGGTTTTAGGGTTCAGGGTTGAGTTTGGGGGTGATGGTTTGGGTTTACGGTTGAAGGTGGTTTAGGGGTTGAGTTGTTTAGGGAAGAAGCCTCAAGGTATTTGGAGAGCTCGAGGGAGGTAGAAGCACGCGTACGCTGTTTTCATGTGGGCGTTTCTCCATGTGACCGGCTCTGTTCGCCTCAGGAGCAGCTGGAGTCTCAAGAGTCGCGGTCTCAGAGTTCTGGATTTTTAGGGCCTAAGGCTTAAGGAACCAGTCTTGGGCTTGTGGTTGTAGGTCTGGGATTGGGGGTGTGGTTGAAGTCCATCGGGGCTTGTCAGCTAAGATGGCGCAATGGCTGCTTAGAACGAAGTTGTTGGGCTTTTCAGTGGCAGTATATGTTTATATATACTTATGCATATATGTACTCTCTCTCTGTCTATATATGAAATATGTATGATACGGAGCATGTGATCTCCTGGGGGGACGCTGCTGTGAGTGCTCTCTCTTCAGGGCATTTCTGCAGCCGACCTGAAACACTGCATCCTTCCGAGTGTGAACGCTCGAACCAAAAATGCCGCATAGCCTGGCTCCCTCCAAGACCTCAGCCCGTAGTTCGTAAAACCTTGGGGTTTAGGGTTTAGGGTCAGGGTTTAGGGTTTAGGGTTTAGGGTTTAGGGTTTAGGGTTTAGGGTTTAGGGTTTAGGGTTTAGGGTTTAGGGTTTAGGGTTAAACCTAAACCCCAAGGAAAGAATTGGAGGAGCTGCAGAAGGCGCACCAGGCGCTTGTTGAGGAGAAGTTCCAGGTGCCTTGGCTGTAGACAAGTTAAGTGGGGATTGTGAGGGTTTCGGCATTATCTGGTTATGTTGCCAGCTACACATCTCCGAGCAGATTGGCACTTTGTCGGACGAATAGTGACTAGTTGTGGCATCTTTGTTGTGGGACTGCTCCAATGCCTAGTGCATGATTGCCCTATGTCGCCACCTTGTCATGAACTTCTTGTCTTTCGCTGTGTGTGTTGCCAATGGGCAGCTTGTACATATGCGCATTGCTGGTTGGCTGTTCGTTGATTGTGTATCTTGGTCAATTGTCGTTTTTTTTTTTTTTTTTTTTTTGCATGTTTGTGTTGTTGTGGAAGACGTTGCTTGTGCTGTACACTCAGCTTGAACTGTCATGCGTGTGCTTGATGACATGGTGGGTGGTTCTATAAAGCTCCATGCATAAAGGTTGGCGCTGATGCATTCTTGTAAGTGCCGGACACGCAATGCCAAAGTCGTGTGAACGGACCACAACGAGTGCATTTCACTCAGAGCAACTCAATGTACAAGATCCTTTCATGTAGTTCCTCCCTTTCTTCCTTTCCGGCTGCTCAGGACCCCTTCCGTAAATTCTGCCCTAAAAAAACCCCTCATATCCCTGGACCCTACAAACCCCTTTCGTTCCTGGGCCCGAATGGGGGGTTTCTGAAATTAGGGGTACCTGATTGGGGTCCTTATTATAAGGGCATCCTACGATTTGGGGTCCATTATAGGCGTCCCTTGTTACAGTAGACTCCCAAATACTTTCAGGTGCCCTCGGCGCAAAAAAGCCCACATCAGCGCTCGCCTTCGGGCGACAGCGACGCCTGGGGCTTCGTGGGCGATCCGCGGCCCTCCGACCTCATCAAGCTGAACGCGGCTTATCCGGCACAACGTTCAGAAAATGATCAGCTAGTAATTATTAAAGAAATGTATGTAGATTTTTGTTAGTGTCAGATGGCCATGAGACTTCTCTTCTGTCTTCACATGGCGTACATGGCGGTACTCTGCGCTGATTGTGCTGGAGCTGCAGGGTGGTGTTGTTAGCGATGATTCTTACCTTGCGACCTGTGTTGTTTGTTGTTTTGCAGACATTACCTCCTTGTGTAGAAGCCCGGCCTTCGCCCATCCAGCAAGTGCAGCCAATCCGGCTGGAAGAAGAGACATCCCGCCCCCAAACCCTTCGCTTTGCTGAAGCTGACTCCCAGCGGTCCTATCTCGGAGGGGGGGGGGTGGGCAAGGATGGCACATTCAGGAAGAAGCCGCAAGCAGAGACGAGCTACGCTTCAAGACCAGCTTGACAAAAGCCACATTCCCGCAGAAGATCTGCGAGCAAGGCTTTTTAGACCAAGGGAACATCAAGAGAGAGGTTTCTGAATCACAGCAGCGCGTCTGGAAGTCTGGAAGTTGCGAATGTCTGGAACTGCTCAAGGGCTTGTGGTCCAGCTTCACGCAGGGCGGTAGCATTTCGTCGAAGCATTCAAAACACATGATGAAGCACAACTTGCTAGGTTTTGATCTAGAAGAGAGTTTTGGTTTTTTCCACGAGCATTGACAACCACACTTCAAGGTCCTGAGGTGCTTCGCTGAAGCTTCCCCAATGTGAGGCTATGTGTGTGTGATGCAGTCGCAAACTGAGGTCGGGGGCGACACGAACTTCACCATGACCCGGGACACGCTGACGGCCGCGCGGGGATCTCGGTTGGCCCAGCTCTTCAGCGGCCGCTGGGAT